TACGTGGCAAATATGAAAAAGTGCTTATGGTATATAACTTAAAGGGAAATATTAAGTGAAAAAGCGGGACACAAAATTGTATGTATGCCATGACTGCAAGTATGGAAAAAGCAGATGCATTGGAAGAAAAACAGACAACGGAAATATAGCAAATGCTGACAGTGCTTATGTTCGGGTCATGGGATTATGGATGACTTACTTTTTTCCCCTCGTATCTGTTTTCTGTAATGTGGTCATATTACTTTATAATGAAAAACATATATATTTTGCAGAAAGGAATGTTCCTGAGCTACACGCAAAGCTAACTCAAGACATAAAGAGGCACTTCTTCACTGTCAAGGTCTAGGACTGAAACTGGCTGAATGTCTGCACTGGAAAGAGCAAAAAAGAAAACAGACCTTCCATCCTGGGAGGGTTAGTTATTTTTCCTCTTAGCAAAGAGGGGAGAGGCTGGGTGCTCTCCAGGCCCTTCCAGCTCCGGAATCCTACACAAATGCATGGTGCTGGGGCTGAACTTGGGATTCATCCTCCCAATGGGGCTCTGACAGGGCCCAGAAGGAAGCTGGCCAGTCCCAAGTCCTCCTTTGTTGTTCATCCTGCACTTGTTCCCTATACATCATTTAGCTCCCGCAGCAGCAGCAGGGGTAGAGGCCCCCGAAGTCCTGTGTGTGGGTGGGAGAAGGCCAAGCCTGAAAAGCTGCCTTTGTGCTCTCAGCCGGCTCAGAGAGCCAGGGGAGCCATTAGGCCGTTGCTAGGTGACGGCCCGAATGAATCGGCACTCAACACTGTCACATGCGTCATCCCTTTGACACAAATGAATGCGGGAAGAGCTGCTGGAGACGGCTGTGGGCTGAAGGACCTGTTGACAGAGAAAATGGTTCTGTCACAGGGAGCTAAACGTGCAGCCTCACGTGGCAGATCAGCATCTCCTCATCAGAAAACCGGTCTAATCCGGATGAACTCTCAGAGCTTAACTTTGTTCTGGGAGCTTCTGGGGGGTCTCCAGGGGGTCTGGTCTAGCCTCTAAGGAGGTAAGGTCTGCTGCAGAGTTGCTTCTGTTGCAGGCAGCAGATCTGAAGAGAACGCCATTGCTGAAGCCTCACTTTCCCCCTGCTCATCTGGTCTCCACAGGGTCCTGGGAGGTGGACAGCCAAGTGCATCCCATGGGAGTCCCTGAGGCCACAGTGCAGAAGCCACTGGCTGGCAGGTATCAGCCTGAACCTGATAGACTTGCTAGATGTTGGACTGCAGCCCTGGAAAGATGGGGAATCAAACCACCATTTCCCTGAAACAGGCAAGCAGCCTTGCAAAAGTAACAGGTTTAAAACAGAAAGGAAACCCTTCCTCCTAGCTGAGTACCAGGACCCATCTGTAGAACTCATGCTCTGTCACAACCTGTCCTCAACACTCCAGAAAAAGGGGCATCTTAAAAATGGGTGCTCTGCCTATTTTCAGGGCAGCAATGGAGATGCAGACACAGAACAGACTTGTGGACACAGTGAGAGAAGGCGAGGGTAGGACGAATGGAGAGAGCAGCATGGAAACATATACATTATGTAAAACAGATAGGCAGTGGGAATTTGTTGTTTGACACAGCAAGTTCAACCGGGACTGTGTGATAACCTAGAGGGATGGGATGGGGGGGGGGGGGGTGGAATAGGAGAGAGGTTCAGAGGGAAGGGACATATTATACCTATGGCTGATTCATGTTGATGTATGGCAGAAACCAATAAAATACTGTAAAGTAGTTATCCTCCGATCAAAAATAAATTTCTTAAAATGGGTGTTCTGAAAAGTGCCTGTGCACTGGCATCTCTGTTAGCAAAATGAGGTATCGATAAAATACAGCATTGACTAGAGTATCACAAAGAGAACAAGGAGGAAGAAGGAATAGGAAGAGAAAAAAAGAGGAACATAAGAATAATGGGCTCTTAAGAATATTAAAACCATGTTACACATTCATCCACAGCATGTGCCTTAATTCTCCCAAAGTGGTAACTTCACAGCAGAACTTTCCCTGGGCACAGTCCACAAGGGAGTACAGGGAATCTAATTGGCCCTGATGATGATTAAACTCACAGCTCATTTCATTATGTCCTAATTAGCCCAGCTCCAAAGGATAAAGACACATCTGTAACATGCAGACAGGCAGGGCGGAAGAGCTGGTACAGAATAGAGTCTTTCCCCACATGTCTCTCCTCCGCCTCTCCCTCCTACACATTCTTGGCTCCAGCCTCACTCAAATCCCAAATTCACCATACATTTTGCCCTTCTATGCCTTTGCACATGCTGTTTCCTCTGCCTGGATGTCCAGCGCTTTTCTTTATCTGCCTAGCTAATCTCTCACCCAGGCTTTAGGACCAACCTTCATCACCCATAAGGTTTTCCTCAACCAGAAAAGACAATGTTAGCGACAATCTTCAGATGGCATTAAAAACAGGCAGGAGGCAGGGAGGATCTAACATTATTCTCATGAACATAAGTTTATCCATACCTAGAAGCAGAAAAAACACAAGTGGGTGCCAGTTGAAGGGCAGCCTTTCTCTTGCCCTCACTACCTCTGTCTCTATTTGGAAAATGCACCCCGAGAGTGTGGGTGGTGGGACATAACCTATCTCCACCATCTGGAAATGTTTTCAAGGATTTAAGCTCTTTCTGAAGATGGAAAATTGGCCTGGGAAGGGGGACATGCTGGGGTTTGCAGGTTGCCATGTTTACCCTTTCTACTCCACAAAGGTAGGTGTTCCTACAGCTCTTCTTAACTCTGGTGCTCTCCAAAACCTGGTCTGGCAGCTGCTGCCAACACAATGGGTTAGAGATCCACTCTCAGTCACTCTCACACTCAGCCCATGTTCTGGACAGTCAGTAGTCACCTTGGTTCCAAGCTTCTATCCCTCCCCCCTTTCACCATATGGGTGGCCAAGCAGCACATTCTTTGTGCCTTTCTTACTTGCATCCCCAGCCAGTCTTAGAAGCCACCACATCTGAGATGATTTCATGGAACTCTTAAATGCCTACCAGTTACTGCCGATGCTACAAGTTCTGCAACTATTTCCTGTTCTCTGATTGCTGTACACCTTGAGGCATCCTGGCCACCATCCTATCCTTAAGATGAGTGGCGCCCAGAACAGAAGACACCAGCAGAGTGAGAGAGACTGGGGAGGTAGGTGAGTTAGGTGGAAGGAGCAGAGATTGGGAGTATGGGGGGATGAAACCATCACCTCCATCTCCATTAGCACTGTTGCCCCTACAACCCAACCTGCTTCCTGGCTATCCAACCACTTGAATGCTCAGAGACCAACTTCCCCTTGCTCTAAATGTTCACCAAGTTGGGTGTCTAGGCTATGTCTATGGACCTCAGGAAGAATTCCTCCACCTTTGCTGGGTTCCCTACTATAAGGGGAGAAAGATTTGGGGGTAAGGATGACACTATTGATTAAAACTGTCTGCAGTTTGCTCAGGCACACAGTGCTTTCTGTGTAAGCTCCTATGGTGAGCACTCTAGAGCCCAGCCAAGCAGTCTCAGCCCAGGTGTCCACTGCATTATATGAGAAGTCTGTATCTTGAGAAATAAAGATTTTTGTCAGCCATGTGAATAGGTGCAGCAGGAGCCTGAGAGCTCTATGCGTCAGCCCACATGGCAGCAAATGTAGTTATTACACACTTACTGCTGAGCTGCCTGTGGAAAAATCTCCTTCCCTTACCACCCGTTATGCCTAAGCGCTCTGAGCTATTTGGCAGTAGAGACCAGGTGTGAATGGAAGTCATCACCATAAAAATTACTCAATCACATATAAGCAATTACTTCAATAAACAACCTCAAAGTCCCTTTAGCCAGATAGTATAATGGAGAGTAAAATAACAGATATAGACAAATCAGTTAGATATAGGATTCTTTCTGGAGATTGTTGTTCAGTCGCTCAGTCATGCCCGACTTTTCGTGACCCCATGGACTGCACTTGGGTTTTGCATTCAGAGTTCCAACTCCTCTGCTTACCAGCTAAGTAGCCTTGGGCAGGTTTCTTAATCTTTCTAAGGCTGAATTTTTTTCATGTTTAAATTGAGGAAAATAACACCCCTGCCTGGCAGAATTGTGTGATCCAAAAGATAATGTATGTGACAGCTCTTTGCAAATGGCCAAGCATTATGCAGTAATAAGTTATTAGAATTCAATCTTCCAGTAGGGTACCATGGCATCCTTTCATCTCTCCTACCTCCCAAATGTCCTCTCCCTTGTAAACCAAAAGGCATTCTATGTGGAGCACAAGCACACACAGAATGTACAGGTGTACTGTTGCTTTTCATAGCTAAGGCTAAGCAAGACCCATCAAATCTCCATATGCTAGATGCTACCAAGAAGGGTCTGCCAAGCCTTAACCATTAACAGGAAGGTGAAGCCAAGAAGCCTGTAGCCCAGGTTTTCCCCTAAGCATGGCAGAAACTGGGCTTCTCTGGTGGTTCAGCGGTAAGGAATCCACCTGCCAATGTAGGAGCCACGTGTTCAATCCCTAGGTCAGAAAGATCCCTGGAGAAGGAAATAGCAACCCACTCCAGTGTTCTTGCCTGGGGAATCCCACGGACAGAGGAGCCTGGTGAGCTACAGTCCACAGGGTCATAAAAGTTAGACACAACTCAGCAAATAAACAACAAAACATAGCAGAAATTAGAAACAATTAGTAATTCTTAGTAGTTCACAGCACAGGAGTTAAGAAAGTAGGAGATGCCTGAAACTGACCTTAGGAATAAGAACCAGGAAGAAAGAACTGGCAGGAATTACGGGGCTAAGGAGGAACTGAAGGCCACCTAGTTTTGACACAACAGCCAAAACTGAGCCTGAGAAAGAAGTAATTGGTCCAAGATGATACAGGGGCAGAGCTGGGACAGGAATCCAGGTCTTCCCTCCCAGCACCACACCACCTGAGGTACAATCAGCCATTCATGTCGAAATCTCTTTGGTTCTTGTATTTCTGAACTAAGTAATAAGTCCAAAAGGAACTTACCCAGAAAATGTTTCTCGGTCACAGATGCCAGAGCCGATAAGAGCCCCAAAGAACAGTATCCACTTCATGTTCCAAGGATGCCAGTCATACAGTGGTTGAGTCAAGCTGTATTTATAAGGAGTCTGAGGCAGACTCATATCCTCAAAAATGCTAATATGATTCCCAAGGACCCTTGCAACTCTGACAGTACATCAGGTGGGCCTTTGATGCCTCTTCCATTCCTTTTGAGTGATATAGGCCAAGACCCTTGACCTACAAAGTCAGAAATTTGCTCCTCAGGTTGGAAAAGTCTGTGACAAGGGTTTTGTATTACTCAACACTTGGTTTTAAGTATTGTTTTTTGAGTAAATAGGGAAGTCCCACAGGCCTGGACAGAACTTACACTGACAGAAGAGGCCAGATTATAAACCTGAGATTGTGTTAGCTCTAGAATAAAAGTAAAGACTACCAAAGAAACCCCAAGTCAACTTCAAGACCACACACTTCACACACTTGACAAGTCCTTCTCTGGTGAGAATAGATCATGATGGAAAATTTGTGGCTTCTGTTTTGAATCTGACACCTAATTTTTCTGACTCTCCTAACAAGGCAAACATATATGAGGTACACAGTATAGGAGAAATGTGTTAGTCTTAATAAATTATTAGTTTTCCTTGGAATCTAAAAAGATAAGCCTTAATGGTATTATTAATAATAAAACTTTCTTACATTTACTAGATTCCGAGTCTGGTGTCCTTTCTACCAAGTCACAGCAGAATAAGTGCAAGACACTCATGATCTCCACCACTTCAAGGACTCTGGAGCCTTTCAGTCAGTCCAAGGTGCCCCAGATCGCACAAGCCTCCCCCATCCTATCGGCCCCCCATCTACATTCTTTCTGTACTTTCTCAAGGGGAGTGGATTCAACCAAGGGTTGGGAGTGTTAAAGAAATGTTATTCTGGTATTTGTTACAACTATAAAGGAGACTTTATTCAAGGTTATTGCAACAAGACTTCCCTGGTGGTCCAGTGGTTAAGACTCCATGCTTCCAATGCAAGGCCCACAGGAAGCCTCTAACCTCTAATCAGGTTAGAACCGGTTGGGAAATAAGATCCCATGTGTTGTGCAGTGTGGTCAAAAAGAAAAAAAAAATGGTTATTGCAATAGAGGTCATGCAACAGGAGATATTAATTGTGTTCAACTTCAAATCTATTAAATATAGCAGAGCAAGGAGGTCAGTGGATGGAAAATTGCTAAGAGGAGACACAAAGTATAGGGAGAATTTTTGCTTAACTGACCTAACAGGATTTGTGCAAAAGGCAGGCTACAGATTTAGACATCATTGGTGGAGAATAAGGAACCTAATCAGATATCAAGGACTGAGGGATGACTTGTCAGCATTCTTTGCTAAGACTGACTTAGGGTCCAAGGATAAAGCTAGTAGAAAAGAGGGATCAGAGAAGCCTGTCTAAGGTTTGGTCAAGAAGAGCTGGTCAGGAGTTGTGGAGCTGGGGGGCCTCTATCGGGGCTCTTCTGTCCTTCCAACACAGAAAATGAACTTCTAGGCCCACCTTGATCTGTCAAAAAAGCTGGGCTCTACTTCACCAAGAGAGAGTTCAGCCTGAGAAGCTGAGACCTAAATCTGCAAGAAATCTGAACTAAGTAATCAAGCACTCAGAATTCCAGGCAAGCTGAAATTCACTTCCCACCCATATCTCGCAAGGAAAGCCATTAACATGAAGAAAATCCAAATCTCTAATGGAAGTCAATGTCTAAAGAGAAATTATATGGAATCTGAGACTCAGACTGATGGAGCAGCCTGGAGGGAGGAATGTCATTGGTTTCCCATCACTAGCTTTTATCATGCAGTGTATCAGAAACAGAAAAGCAAAAGTCAACAATGGATCCAGAGTATGTAGCACCTAGCATGATACTTAGCACAATCTAGTTGCTTAACTAGTATTTATTGAACTAATAAACTCAAAAGTCCCTTTCTTGCTCTAAAATGTTACTCTATTAAGATGAAGGAGCTGACATATACCACAACATGGGTGAATCTCAAAAACATTATGTTACGTGAAATAAGCCAGTCATTTGAGGACAAGTACTATATGATTCCATTTATATGTGGTACCTAGAACAGGTAAATTAACAGAGACAGAAATAGAATAGAATTACCACAGGCTGGAGAGAGGGAAAAACAGGAAGTTGTCGCTTAATGGGTACAGTTTCAGCTTGGGATGACGGAAAATTTCTGGAGATCGATGATGGTGATGATTGTACAACACTGTGAAGGCACCGAATGCCACTGAACTGCACAGTCAAAATGGTTAAAATCATTTTACGATATGTATATTTCACCATAATTTCTTTTAATTTTTAAAGGATGTTGGTAGCATTTGCTTTAAATGGGATTTTAAAAGATAAAGATCTTTAAAATAGCGGTTTGCTGTGTTTCAGGGCAACATAAATCAAAGGTATAATGTTCCTATATCAGGATTAGAAAAAGGAATAATCATAACCTAACTTTGCTTCCAATCAAAGAGCTTTTAATGGTATTTAGTCCCCAGAGTCCTAATGGGGGCAGTCTCACACATGCTCCATGACTGTCTTCAAGCCAAGCCAGGTCTCTTTTGCTTGTGGCTAACATCTGACTGTGGAAAATTCTGAAAGAGATGGGAATACCAGACCTCCTGACCTGCGTCTTGAGAAACTTATATGCAGGTCAGGAAGCAACAGTTAGAACTGGACATGAAACAACAGACTGGTTCCAAATAGGAAAAGGAGTACGTCAAGGCTGTATATTGTCACCTGCTTATTTAACTTATATGCAGAGTACATCATGAGAAATGCTGGGCTGAAAGAAGCACAAGCTGGAATCAAGATTGCTGGGAGAAATATCAATAACTTCACATACAAAGATGACACCACCCTTATGGCAGAAAGTGAAGAGGAACTAAAAACGGCTAGATGAAAGTGAAAGAGGAGAGTGAAAAAGTTAGCTTAAAGCTCAACATTCAGAAAACTAAGATCATGGCATCTGGTCCCACCACTTCATGGCAAATAGATGGGGAAACAGTGGAAACAGTGGCTGACTTTATTTCTGGGGACTCCAAAATCACTGCAGATGGTGATTGCAGCCATGAAATTAAAAGATGCTTACTCCTTGGAAGGAAAGTTATGACCAACCTAGACAGCATATTAAAAAGCAGAGACATTACTTTGCCCACAAAGGTCCATCTAGTCAAGGCTATGGTTTTTCCAGTGGTCATGTATAGATGTGAGAGTTGGAATGTGAAGAAAGCTGAGCGCTGAAAAATTGATGCTTTTGAACTGTGGTGTTGGAGAAGACTCTTGAGAGTCCCTTGGACTGCAAGGAGATCCAACCAGTCCATCCTAAAGGAGATCAGTCCTGGGTGTTCATTGGAAGGACTGATGTTGAAGCTGAAACTCCAATACTCTGGCCACCTCATGCAAAGAGCTGACTCATTGGAAAAGACCCTGATGCTGGGAGGGAGTGGGGGCAGGAGCAGAAGGGGACGACAGAGGATGAGATGGTTGGATGGCATCACCAACTTGATAGACATGGATTTGGGTGGACTCCGGGAGTTGGTGATGGACAGGGAGGCCTGGCGTGCTGCGATTCATGGGGTTGCAAAGAGTCAGACACGACTGAGCAACTGAACTGAAATGAACTGAACTGAACTGAAGATCTGACTGGGCTTCCCAGCTGGAACTAGTGGTAAAGAACCTGCCTGCCATTGTAGGAGATAAGACATGCGGGTTTGATCCCTGGGTTGGGAAGATCCCCTGGAGAACAGCATGGCAATCCACTCCAGTATTCTTGCCTAGAGAATCCCATGGACAGAGGAGCCATACTTTGACCACCTGATGCGAAGAACTGACTCACTGGAAAAGATCCTGATGCTGGGAAAGATTGATGGCAGGTGGAGAAGGGGATGACAGAGGGTGAGATGCTTGGATGGCATCACTGACTCAATGGACATGAGTTTGAGCAAGCTCCAGGAGTTGGTGATGGACAGGGAAGCCTGGCATGCTGCATTCCATGGGTTGCAAAGATTTGGACACAACTGAGTGACTGAATTGATTAACTGAACTGAAGATCTGATTGGCTGGCAAGAAGAAGCCATATCAACCTGTCTGTCTTTCAGTTCAAAGGCAAATGAGTATTTGATGCCAGAGTCATAGGACCAGTCAGTACTTCCTCCACTGGCTTGGTATGAAGAGTAAATGAGAATAAATTCTGGTTATACTACTCCCACTGGCCTCTCACAGCTATGCAACCTGTATATTAAATTCCTTCACTATCAAAAATAAGTCCAGCCCCTATGTGCATGAACCTTGAGAACAGGGATAACTTAGTAGAGGGCCATGGTTATGAAAAAAAAAAAGATTAATTTGAAAAGAAAAAAAGGTGTTATTCAAGTAGAGACTATACTTAGCCTTCCTCTGGTGTTCTTAGGAGCCTCTGGCTTCACCCACACATTTGAAATCCTGCCTGCTCTCCTCATTGGCATCTTCTACATCTTAGGGAGGCTACACCACTTCCTTCTTTAGTTGGGTGCTAGGTACAAATATTTTTTCCTCCAGTGGGAGAGGAGGAATCCCAAACAAAGGAAGAGAGGGAATTCCCTGGCAGTTCAGTGGTTAGGACTCTATGTTTTCACTGCCTAGAGTGCAGGTTCAATCCCTGGTCAGGAAACTAAAATCCCATAAGCTACATGGTATTACGAAAAATAAAATGAAACATTTAAAAAAAGATAGAGGAAGACATTTGGCCCCTACCCTTAGGGAACTTTCAGCATAAGGACTGAACAGGCTTTGTTCTGATATCAAATAATGTGCCCAGCACCTATATGCGTGGGTAAAATCAAGAATGTGCACCTGTGTAATATGTGGACACTGATATGTGACATATGATAAAGGAAGGAAGCATTAGCCTACAGAAGAGCTGAGCAATGGGCCAACTCTGAGGCCCCTTCCATGGAGGGTTGGTAGAGATCAAACAGGAGATGGCTGGGGAAGAGATGGAGGAAGTCACCTAGTCCCTAAGAATGAGGCTGGGCA